AAGAGGAAAAAGAAAGATAGACGCCGGGTCCCAAAAACGAGATCGACTCTAGAACGATCTGACCTGTTCCACGGCCGTGGTAATATATTCTGCTCACAGGAATGAGAAAACGGGCCTGGGCCATCGTTTCTTCGTCGTGCCCACTTTGACATATGCCGAATGCACAGATAAGACCGGGGAAGGCAAGGCGTAGACTTGGAAAAGGGTCCTGTCTCTCATGTTCCCTTCTACTCCACAGTCGAAACCATGCCCCCTTTTCCCACTACGCCAGGAAGATTGCAACAACAAAGGCTCGCACAACTGTTTTTGGCGGGCGAAGAAAGCTGGACAAGCATCATGTTCGCTGTGTAGCTCTCAAGCCCCGGCGGCCCACGACGCCGTGCTGATCTCTCTGTCTGGTCCTGCTTGAAGGCGTCCGTGCGAATACAACCCCAACCCTCCCCCTGGTTGAACTAGTTCCCACCAGGGAGCGACGTTCGCAAACCGCCTCTTCGAGTGGTCTCTCCCATGTCCCCGGTCGTCGTCCGAATGAGTCTTCAAGGGCCAGAGAAACAGTTGGCCCCGGCAGGCAGGTGGAGGCTGTAAGTCCCGGATCATTCCAAAATCCAGTCTTCACAATCTGCAGGAGCTTGGACAGCCACGTTGTCACCATCCCACACCTTTTCCTTTGCACCAAAGCTGCAGACTAGTTCCCCTTCTGGAGTACGATCGACCCTGTGCAAGCATTGCATCCAGGTCCAGAAACCTGGTCTCACATGCAACTAAGACATGCAGAGCGCGTCTGCGAGGCGCCTAACCTCGAAACAGCGAAACATGGCAAGACATCCCACGAGGCACGTCTTTTTTCCCGATGCGCCACGGATTTGCCGCCGGGGAAAGAGAAGAATACTGGAGCAAAGCCTGTGATCGGTGACACGCGCATCTACAACACTGAAGCCTGGAAAGGAGAGTGGGAGGAAAAGGAAAAAGAGGAGATTGCAACCCCACGATCTCAAGATTCCGCGTTGTTGAAGTGAGAGGCGTTAACACCCCGGTTCCTTGCTCTGCGACGAGAGCTCGAGTCAGTGTAGCGCACATCATTGGGGGCGACCCGTGTGTTTCAGCGAGTTTTTGCGCCGTAAGCTTTTTTCTTTTCTTAAACACTGACTGGCGATTTACAGGAGGAATTAAGAACTAAAGAAGCGCTTCGTGTGACGATTGTGACAACACCCCGTACTAAGGTATGTGACAAAGCCAAGATGCCATCGGGTCGTCCAAACTCGTCAGTGAGGCAATAATGGTGTCCTGTCAAGCCAAGAAACTCCAAGTCGCATTATCCAATGCATCCCAATCCTCAATCACTCGCCATTCACCACGAGGTTGCGTTCGCATCGGCTACTATCTTGTCTGCTCGATCGCAGCGAGTCAAGCCACCCGACACGGGTATAATTCTCGGTTTAAATGTCTTCAATAGTGGCATAGATATTCTGCCTCACTATATCCATAAGCCACCATCACTGGCTTCAAATGGCCTATAATTGCGCCGTCTTAAGACCGAAAGCAAGATCTCAGCCGGCTATCGCGGACGCATCCCAGGTCATCCGGTTTGAAAAAGGAAGCCGCATCGCCGCACCATGCCGTGGTGTAGCGATTCAGATCATGACAAGTGACGTCCTCAGGTGATTGGCAGTTTCCAGTGAGGTGATATTGGGACACAGACCTCGATCCAAATCACCCACGTGGGCCCTGATGCTGGTTTCGCGTTGCAATGGGGGCGATGCGAAGGAGGGGAAGATTTGCCGGTTGATACGGAAGAGGTAGATTCAAGTTCTTGGAGCTTTGAAGCTATGGTGAGCCTTCAATGCTTCAACCTTAGTGGTTGAGTTCCAATTCCCGATTTTCGAAGTGAAGCTATCGCTGTCACCAGCTGACTTAAACATGTGTCAGTGAAAACTAGGTAGTTTCGCAACGTCTGAGAGCTAATTGTTGTCGACAAGCAGCATTGTTCGATGGACTAGCAATGCCAGTAGCCACTCATGTTGAAACGGAGGAATTGGATGGGGCTGAAGTGTGAGCTATCCTGATTGCCGCCGCAATCTCAAGACTTGGCGTGTTGGTCCCCGCCGTAAATCAGACCAATATCGAGGTCCCCGGTCTGCTCGGACATCATTCAAATCAGATAATCAGACTGCTCATTGAAGTCCCTCAAAAAGATGCATGATCCGAATCGCAGCGTGTCGTACCTGATATAGCGAGCCTACTTGTCTGGTGGTGACGACCAATTCACGAATCATTGCAGTATTGAGCCCATGTTATGTGCAAACTGGGCTTAAATTGGAGCAGTAATTCTCCGAGCGTCTGACTCAAGTAACAGTGGATAAAACTCTCCCTGACAGCTGTCAACGCAGGTTTGTCGCAAATTGCAATCAAAAATTCTAGGTGCTTACGCCATGTAGAGCACCGGGCCGGCGGGAAAAGAATCAAATCGTGTCTCTGATGACGAGATCGTGCCCGTGCCAAACGTTCACCAAAAAAAGCGAGGCGGCTAATTTGAGAGAACAAAACAACGAAACAAATTTGCCGAGCCCGCCAAGTGGGAGAATCGAAACACAAAAACAGCATCAGCCCTCTGAAGGCTATCTAGCTTAAGTTTAAAAGCACGTTGTTAGACGCGAACTGTGCCATGCAAAGGAAGCTACGAGACAAAAGAGTCTAGCTTCTTTCAAAGAAGCTTTGGCGAGAAAGAGGTCAACGGCAGGCAACTCTGTTGGATGTTCCAGTCTTGTGCAACCCGAGCCGAATCATTGCGGAAAGTGGGCGACATGGGCGATCATGGGACATGACAAGAACGTCTTGCTACCTTTCAAGAGTTGGGATTTCCCCTGGATACAAATTACAAACTCCCGCGGAATGGAGGATGGGTACGTCTAATCATTCCAAGCCTCCAAGGTACGGAGTATGGGTGCTGTATCAGTGGAGTTGGCGAAAACTTGAGTATGCGCCCCTGCGTTGGCCAACTCCACTGCGTGGTGGGGATTGCCCGGCTGAAGATCGTTGATGCGAGACATGAAAGGCGGGAAGTATGGCTCGACCGCTCGAGAGATCCTGACTTTGAACGAAACAACATGTCAGTCTTAGGCATCGAGCTAGTGTCGCTCTCTGTCCGCAGAGTCTAGACGTACGTCGTGGTTCCGGACATCCCACCGCGAAACGTGAAATCGGAGCACCGGCTCCCACTGAGAAACTCCCGATGAACTACATACGCGCCCGCTGCAGAAGCAAGAAATCGGAACCTTGCGCCGGTTTATCGGGAGTTGGACCCCTGCGGATAGTGCCCGAAGCGCCGTGCAACAGGACGAGGCAAAGACAGACTTCCACTGAATCAAAGATACTCACAGCCTCCATTCCGAAGCCGTCTTCCGGATTGGACAGGGCCTCCGATTGCCTTTCCTCAGTGCCGTGCCGTGTAACCTTTCCTCTCAAACTCAGTCAGGAGCTTTGGTCGCGAGGGCTTTGAATATTCTGCTCACCTCGTGGACCAGCAATCCTCCCTTTTTGACATTTCCCCCTCATTGACGTGGTAGCCGCCGCGAACCGTCAGTTCATCTGTCATTGTGATTGGGAACTCAAGGTCCAAGCTCCGTCTTCATATCGGAATACAGACGTGATCGTGAACATGCAGATTGAAGACCATGGACCATAGTGAACCCATCGAACCTATGCTCCATACCTCTCTATCAACCATCAAGATACCTGCATGGGCTGCATTACTTGCTGTATCTTGACTCGGAGCTTCGGAAGTCACTACCCATTGCATACCATCATCTTCGAACGCTCCATATTCTTACAGGCACATTTGTCCACAATCATTGAATTGGCCAGTCAGAACAATTGGAATGCCCAGCGTAACTCGGAAACCGGGAGGCAAGCCCACGAGTAAGTCATCACTCTCTTTCGCTCCCCCAGTCCACGATCCAGAAAAAAAAGGGAGGCCCGAGCGAAGAGACCAGGTAGGGTATCATTCTCCCAAGGGTATCACTCTCCCATGAAGCCTCTTGAATAAAATGTCCTAACAATGCCCCCATTCTGCATCCTACAGTGACATCCGCAGCATCGCACCGGCGTAGCTTCCGTCCAGATACCGTGAGGTGATCGTCATGTCAACCGTCCATGCCCCCCATCGCAAATGGCCGCACCAGAGACTGGGAGTCTCCAACCCCGTGGTCGATGAATCGACGGTTCAACGGTCCTGAACCGATTCCCACTCCCGTCGCACGAAAGAACGCAATCTTGAATCCACAACCCGTTGAAGAAAAATAAGTGTTCCATCCTTCTCCACTGAAAGGATCATCAGAGTCGCAGAATGCAAGACACTGTAAATCCTCCCAAACCATAACCATGAGCCTTTTTAAACATCCCCCACGAGACGAGGGCAAAGACACGCGAGTTGAAAGTCGCTGACTGGCTCCCTCCCACACAGTGACACTACTGCGCTACGCCCCCAATGCGTGTCACCGTGTCACGCCCCCCATCTCGCCAGCGACCCTGACAGAAAATCCGACGATCGGCGTTGAAGAAAGAAGCCAAGACCCGGGAGTTGTGAGGGAGAGGATCCATATCGGATGGCACCCGACTCCGTTCTGTCTCGCGCCTCTGCCAGACTGCCACCGCCTCTGATCCAGAACCCCCCCTTCTTCGTCGAATCGTCGCTTCTCTCTGTGCTGCGTATGTATGCTCCCCCTGCCCAGTGTCTGGCCCCCCCAGCTGACGTCTACACACCAAGCATCGGGAGTTCACTCCGTTCGTAGCAAAGGGGCCGAAAGAGGCAACAGGGTCGTGTAGGGGGGTCAAGACACAATTCGCAAGCTACGCACCTTTTGGGACGATTGCGAGTTTTGTCCACTCTGTATCCGTCTTAATCCAAGTTTATCAGTATCACAGCCTCAGAGGCCAATTCTTCAACTCCAAGAAATGGGGGCCATGAGCCTGAAAATAGTATTCTCATTAATTCGCTTCAATGCCTTCAAATTCCCAAAGTGTATCCTAGGTTTGATAAAGATAGAGCCCCCATTTGAATCCCAGCTATGCGCCCGTCCCGCCAATAAAGAGTGGGAGAACCATCAAACGCCTATTCCTATCCAAGCCGTATCCCTCTCTAACTTTTTGATTTTGCTGAAAGCCAGTTGCCAGAAGTACCACAGTAACGTGTTTGTCGCAGCCGTAAGCCGAAGTTGTGACTTAGCCCACCAACGACCACGCTCATCCCCCGCGCTCAAAACCTCCATGTCTCGAAAGCCATAGAGCCAAGCTTCACAGATCCATCCATGGCCCCCCTCGATTAATCTCTAATCTCCCCAGTGATGTACCCAATCTGCCTCCTCCCATTAACCCCCGCGTTGGTGAGCTGGCTCGCAAGGTTCGTCTGCCCGTCAACAAGCCTCCTCTGCTCCGCCAACCGCGCCCGGAACCTTTCCTCCTGCTCCCGGTCCAGACGATCCACATCCTCCCTCTCCGCGACGCGGATCGCGCTCAGCGTCTTGGCCTGGTCGACCTTCTCCGTCGCAATCTGCTTCTCCCACTCGAGCATCATGCTCTGCCGCGCCATCGTCAGGTCCGACTCGGCCAGCTCCACGGCCCGCGCCCGCGTGATGCTCGCCTCCGTCAGCGCGGCCTGGTGCTCCAGGTCTGCGCTGCGCTCATTGCGCTTACGCCGCATCTGGGCGGCGAAGTGGTCCTCCTCGATGCGCGCGCGCTCGTTGAGCGCCACCAGCTCGTCCTGCGCCACGCGCTGCCGTCTAGAATCCTCGAGCTCCGCCTGCGCGGACCAGATTTGCGCTTGCACCGTCGCCAGCTCGCGGTTGCGCGCGATCGAGAGGGCGTGGTCTTCCTGCTCGAGGTTGATGCGATCGAGGCGGGCGCGACGGGTGCGTTCTTGGGCTTCGACGTCCTCCGGCATGCCGACGGCGCCTTCGGGTTGGGGCCCCATGTTGGCGTAGTAGACGTCCTCGGCGCGGTTGGCGCGGAGGAGCTTGATGAGGGCGTCTTGCTGGTCTGATTTGGGGAGGACGTGCATGACGTACATTGTTGGGGAGTAGGTCATCTTGCCGTCCGAGTAGTGGTTGAACTTTTTGTTGATGTGCTTCCACATGCCCGCCTTGAGGAGTGTCCGACAAGTGATTAGGGGGTCCCGGGACTCGAGAGCGAGGAGGAGGATCGACTTCCCTTCCGATCTCAAGGTTGTGTCGGAACCAGCCTCGATGAGGAAGTTGATGACCCTTTCCATAAGCTTCTGGCGCGCGGCAGTGAGTTCGCCGTTGTCTGCGCAATGCCGGGCAAGTTCTCCTAGTGCACTCCGGCCCCCGTGAAGTGTACTTGGGAAATCGGGCTCGTGTCCGTACTGTACCAGGACCTGGCAGGCTGAGAGGTTCAGCTCGCGGGCAGAGTTGTGGAGTGATCCATCATTGCGCGAGGCGCCAGCAGCTAGTAAGTTGGACATCATCTTGATGGCTGTGTCCCCTCCAACCTCGGTCGACAGTGTAAGTGGCGTGTTGCCCTTCACGTCGCACACATCCACCTCTGCGCCTTCTAGTAACAGCATTTTGACGACATCGGGTCGGCGGTTTCGGATAGCTAGCATGAGTGGCGTAGATTGGGATATCTTCGACTCGAAATTGACCTTGGCACCGGTCTCGATGAGCATTTGCACGATGCCACTGCTGACCTTCTTCTGCGGCTGAAGTAGCGCCCACATCATGAGCGTAATAGCCTCCTCGTCAAGGTCTTCCATCACCTTGCAAGGCATCATCTGATCGTAGTAGTATCCGGCATCCAAGAGGGCCTTGGTAATCCGGATCGAGCGCGGGTGCTGCTGCAGGGCAAGGAACATCAGGGGCAGCGAGTCCGGCGGCGTGTACATGACATCCAGCCTCGTCTCCCCGTCAGCGTATTCAGTAAACATTGTAATTAATTCAAGGGCGTCGTCTTCCGAGGCCGGATTGTCAAAGATGCGGTAAAATGATCGGGATATGGACTCGGTATTGGGCTTTTTCTCTAGTAACCTCTTGACCAAGAAGGAGTTGCACGCAGCGGCTGCTGACTGCAACAGCTTGCCGTCGGCGTAGTTCACGTCAACTTTGTGATCGAGCAGGATGTCGACGAAGCCGTTGGCGAGTGCGAGGCTATCGGGCTCGCTCTCGGTTAACGGCAGATCGACAACCTGGGTGAGGACGGAGCTGAGACCGTCGCCGTGGGCTCCCTTTTTCAAAAAGCTGTGCAGGATGGTAAAGCCGGCTTCTGAGAACCAGGCGTCCGTGTTCTCCCGGGTGAACCCTTCTCGAATGGCGAGATTGAGATCGGCCGATAAGATTTTGGACTCGAGCATGAAGGCAAGCGGTTTTACCAGGGCTCTCCTCGTAGCGTCGACCAGGGTCTGGCAGTCGTTGGCGATCGGCGAGGCACCATATCGGAGGAGAGACCGGATGATCTTGAGGTCGAGCTCCTCTTCGTTAATCGCGTTATTCAGTACTACGTGCAAGTCGTCGGAAACAGGCAAACCGGCCCGGAACAGCATATCGATCGCGGCGGCACGGGGTTCGCGACTAAGTTTCCAAGCAGCCCTCAGCGCCCTATTAAGCGTGGCATGCGAGGGCTTGTGTTGCTTCTTCTTGTTAGACCCCTTTAACGAAGCGTGGGATTTGGCGGAGGCAATGGATCTCAACGAGGCGCTCGATGGTTTACTCACTAGCCGCGTCCCGAGTTCGACCAACCCCAGCATCATTTTCAGACTGCTCAGGTAGGCGCTCCTCGTGGCCGCCCAGATGGCCTCGCCCTTGTTGTAGTTCGGGTCCGCGCCGGCTTCTAGTAGAATCTTGACCAGGTCGTCGCCTTCTTCGCCGAATCGGACCGCGGATGCGAGCTGCGCGTCGAGTGCTTCACCTTCTACGCCGTGGATAAGAAGAGGCTCGAGGATGGCGGCCCGCGTCTTGAGGTTGCCGACCTCGGTGGCGGCTTGGAAGCCCCTTTCGATCGTCGATCGCTTGGGTGTTGTGGTGCCGCTGAGCAGCATGTTGAGAACATCGGCGGCGCCCGAGCGACAGGCCTCCACGATGGCATCCTCGTCAATCTGCGCCCCGTGGCTGACGAGGAGATTACCCAAGACGAGATCACCGTCCGCTGCTGCCGCAAGCAAGGCATCCGAAAGTACGGAGCCCGAAGCGCCATGCTGCAACAAAACTTCGCATATCGCTGCCCTTGCTTCTCGGTTTGACAAAAGAGCTGCCTCGGCAAAGGCATCGTTGAGCACAGGTAGAGGGTGCTTTTGAGCTAGAACGAGTTGGACGATATCAGGACGTTCCTTCTTGACTGCTGAGACCAGAGCCTCTCCATCGCTCGTATTGGCCTTGGCAGAGAGGGTTCGGAGCAGCGGTATGTCGTTCGTGTACGTGTTGATAGCGAATCCGAGAGCTCTGTTGACCTCGGCGCTCGGCGCACCCGCGTCCAGCAACTTCTGGGAGAACTCGAGACGATCCATCGGGTCGGCGATCCGCAGAGCGTGGGGTAAGGCCGATGCAAGCGATGCAGGGTTCGGGCGGGCCGCGAAGAGAAGATCGGTGATTTGCGTGTCGCTTGCGGCTACGGCATGGCAAAGAGCGGCGGCGTTGTGAGAGTTAACATCGGCACCGGCGCTGAGGAGAACCTTGACGATGGATAGTTGTCGATGTTCGGGAAGGGTCTGAAGGAGAGCGTGAACCTCCTTCACGAGGACGTCGTTAAAGGGAGCCCTGTCTTTTGTCTTTTGCAAGAGAATCTCAAGCTTGGCAGCCTTGGTATCTGAATAGATTAGTTGCCCAAACTCGCTGACGGCCCTGCTGACTGTTGCGTGTGAAGGTTTGCCGTGCATAAGCAAGGTCTCGAGAACCGGCGGATCATGGCTGTGGATTGCTGTCACGAAAGATTAGCATCTCTACTACCCCCCTTAGCTAGCAATCACTTACCGGAAGCCATGGCAATGCCGTTGTCAACGTTGACATCGGCATGCCCCTGCACCAACAATACTTGCAGAAGCTTGAGATCAGCTGGCCGATAGTTCAACGCGTTGAGCATGGCCTGAGAGACCTTGACCGGGTCCAAGTTCGGCACCGACGTCAAAAGCAATGTCGCCATATCCAACCTCGCCTTGGCATCTTGAGTCGCGATGATCCTGGGTAGCACACCAGCGGCAGTGTGAGGCGTCACGTTCTTCTTGAGCAGCGCATTGAGTAGCCTCACGTCCTTTTGCGCCACAGCAGCTACTAAAGCTGAGCCCTCGTTGGTGTTGATGTCGGTATTGTACTTAAGAAACAGTCCGATCAGGTCTTCATCGCGATGTGGTGGCTCCTCATCAATGGCTTCTTGTAACGCGTCGTGAACGATGGGCCCAGCGAGACCACTCGTGAGAAAACATTCCACCATTCGATACCTGTTTTTTCGTGATAGTGTCTTGGTGAGAGGGAAGATTTGGGCTAGTGTGTCGCTTGATGGTTTGCTCATGAGAAGCTCCTTGGCCATCGCCGCATCACTCCTCATGACTGCGATCTGCAGAGCCAAACCGCCCTTATGGTCGACGGATGCCGTTTGGTGGCGATCATACACCATTGATCTCGGTCCCTTCTTCACATCATGTTCGGCAATGGGACGTCCTCCAGGGAAGACGGCTGTGAGAAGAAGCTTGGCTGAATCGACGTCGCCTGCCTCCGCCGCCTCAATGAGCATGTCGTGTAGCGCTGTCCCGTTTGCCCCTCTCCGTAACAGCAAATCCAACAATAACCGACGGCTTTCTACGCCCATGTTTTTCGGTATGAGCTCGACGCACTCGGAGGCATGTGTTGCACTTAGTTCCGCATTGCCGCTGAGGATGATGTGCGCCACGTCTACCCGTCCATTCTGAACGGCTTTCCGTATGGCCATTGCGTCCTGATACTCTATTGAGACCCCGTACTTGACCAAAAGACTGACCATGTCTTGGAATTCTGCTGCTGCGGCGTGGATGAGTGCCATGGCCGGTGCATCGCCGTCTGTGCCGGCGCATAGCAGTAGCTCGGCTACGGCAAGCTTGTCTCTTGGGTTCATCGACGGGTGATCCAGCAAATTTGAGAAAGCCTCGTCCAGTCCCGGGCGTTTCGGCGGATGGTTTCCCATGAGAATCGCGAGAGCAATGTCGTGACGTCCCTGGCTAATCGCGACTTTGAGCGCCTCCGCCTGGTTGTAGTCGCCGTCGGCATTGGATCGACTGAGTTGAAGCACCGTTTCCAAACACCCTGCCTTGGTCGCGTCCACCATACACTGCGAGAGCCACGAAGTCGGTGGCCGGCCCTCAGACCGGAGGACAATCCCTACCAGATCCGCCTGCCCGCCCGCCGCGCACGCCTGGCGGAACGAGTCCTGAGCCTCGGGGCTATGCGCCACCCCGGCGCCGTAGCGTAGAAGAAGTTCGACGACCTCTACGTTTTCAGACTGCATGGCGACCGGTAATGAGGCGTCCAGGGCAAATGTGTCGGCGTGCGGCAACAGGACCTGAATCATGTCGATCTGGCCATTGTGCACGGCGTGCTGCAGCAACTTACTCCGCTCGCCGAAGCTGTCGAGACTTTTCCTTCGAGGCAGGATGCTCGTCTTTGCCTTTTGCGCCATGTTGACGTCGCCGCCGGACGAGACGAGCTGTGTGATGAGAGCCTCCGCCACACCGGGCGATCCGCGGTCGGCGACGTGCTTGTCGAGGGTGTCGAAGACGACCTTGTAGTCCCACGACTTCTTCTTCCCCGTGAAGGCGCGCCGCAGGTTCGTGGTGGATTCTGTGCGGCCGTGTGACATTTGCTTGCGCTTGAGCAGCTCCTCGGCCTTGAAGTCGTCCTCCGGGGTCCGGAAGCTGGGGGGGCTGGAGGGCCGCGTCAGGGGCGTCGGCGACGGCGGGGGCTCGAGACCCCATTCCTCCGCAAACTGGATGATCCGCCGCTGGCGGTCATCCTCTGTCGGCGGAGTCGGCATCGGGGGTGAGCCGGGGGGAGAAGATAGGAATGGAGACAGTTTGACGATGTGTTATACGGCGGTGACCTGGCCGTATGATGCGAGGGAAAGGGAGGAGGGGGAGGAAAGGAAGAAAGGGAAGGGATGAGAAAAGAGCTGTGAGCGGATAGCTCTCGTGAGAGTGAGGTTGAATGAGGCGGAGTGCTACGTGAGCTGAGCTGAGAGAAGAGAGAGAGACAGAGGAGAGACGTGCGGCGCAAAGTTTCGTTTTCGTCCCAAGATTGATGTTGCACGCTCAACGGCAGAGGGACGGCGCAAAAGACGGCCTATGGCCCGGTAGCAGTGTTGGGCGGGATAGCATGAACGGAGGAGGTGAGAACAAGCATCCAGGATCGATGGTAGGCTGACATAAAGAGGATACAAAGTGTGGTGGTAGTGGCGATTGGCGGTGGTGGGAGAAGAGACGTTGGATGAATGGACGGATTCGTTCGTTTGGGAGGCCTGGGAGGCTTCTGTCTGGGGTTCGCGGATGTTCGGCCCAGAACGACTCGTATCGTATCAGCTCTTCCCTCAACCGCTCTTAGGAAGAGGCCAGACGGGAGATGGCAGACACGGGTTGACCGCGGAGCTGAACTCAAAAAGAGAGTGAGGGAGAGAGGGAAAAGTAGAATGATGCAAGCCGGGTTGAGGCAGAGCGCACAGTTCTCTGACGGCCAGCCGCAGCAGAAGCAGCAAGCAGACAAGCAGCAGCAACCAGTAACACGATCCGTAGCCCGTGTCCTTCTGCAGAGGCGTTGGAAGACGCGGGTGTGGTGACCTTGAGAGTGTACGGACAGAAACTCGAGGCGAAGCACACCGCACGAAAGACGTCGGCGAAGAAAGATCGAAAGGTCCAACGGGCAGAGGGCAGATGGCAGGGGTCGCGGGTTGAGTTGAGTTGAGGTATTCCGAGGTCCTAAGCCTTGTGGCGACAATGCGTCGCGTTTCAGCAGGGTGGAGTTCAAGCTTTTCGTCTGTTCGTCCTTTTCTCTCTTTTTTCTCTTGGAGAACTTGCTTGGAGACTTGCCCACTTTGGAGGCTGGTCCCCTAGTCTTTTCCAGATACGAGTGTCACAATAGAACAACGGTTAGGGTGGCCGGGACCTCTTTTAGGAGTTGGGGCTCGGGAGAGACAAGCGTGACAAGCGTATCCGTAGGCTAGGCGGTTAGCGGACAGGTCGAAGGAAGGGTGTGGCTGAGGGGGTTTATGAGGTCGGACGATGCCAGGCCCCTTGAAGCTTCACCAAGGAACAGTGACGTCGATCAAGATTGATGAATGAGACCGTCGGCGTTTTTTCTTGGACGTAGTCGTGATGAAGCTCCGGACTGGTGATATTAAAGGGGATATCGCAGTTGACTGAAGCTCGGATAGCTAGGGGTATCCCCCCTGAGAGTGGATATGATTGACAATTAGAGGCAATGAAGAAAATGGAGGGTTAACAGCAGCATAGGCATAGGGAGAGGATAAACGGCAGAAAAAGTTGGAGTATGGGAAGTCATCCGCCCAAAGCCAGTTATGCAAACAAGCCTCAAGAGACCAGCCATTCCTCGTTTAAGCTTGTTGGGCGACCCGGGGGGGCAGCTGCCGCCAGCGCCGGCGCGTGTGAGTGGTGAGGATAACTGGGCTCGGTGAGCAGTCGACGCGAACGTGGCAGGGCATACGCGGACACGTTGACGATCCCTGGGCCGCTGAAGGTCCCGTACGAAGCGAGGCAGAGAAGCAGGAAAAGGCGGAGGAGACGGCACAGAAAGTGGAGAAGATGAAGGAGTCGAGCTACGGAGGAGGGGACCGAAGGGTCCGTTGGAGTACCCGAATGTCTTCGAAACCTCAACTTGAGTCTCGAGTCCTGAGCCAAGTCTTGGGCCAAGAGTTGCCCAGACTCCAGAGAGAAGATAATCACTCATGCAGATAATGTGTCCAGGTCTCACATTTCTTTATTGCCTGTTGACGCAGACAGCAACTCAATGGATCTATGTATTAGAACAAGTAGTAGCATGTGCTTCCGCTGATTATCTCTCGGGGCCGAGGGCAGAAAGACTCCAAAGCCAAGGAATGCATGGTCACCAAGTGGCTCTTCGTTTGACCCGAGTAAGGTACCCATACAGGTAGCCTGAGAAAACCATCCAAGAGCCTATGCTCCAAGACTCTGGGGCAAGATGAACCGGTCCCCGATTGTTTGAAAGACAAGAAGGGACAAGACAGGCGCCGCAACAACCCCTGACCCCGGACAGATTGGTCACCATTCCCTCGAGGGAAAAGAGGCACGAAGCATCCTGGACGGATAGCACGAATAGGTCATCGACGGTACGGACTAAGTATCCGTAGATAACCTTGCAAGCTGCCTTGCCGTTCCGTCCACCTGGCTGTGCGTTCCCGCTTTGGGTTTGCTCAACTACCGTACCTCTACATACTGTGTGGCGTTCGACGCATCAGCCCACGCGCAAAAGAAGGCTAACAAAGTTCTTCTGCCGTCCTTCTCTTACGTGGCGTGCATGGCCGAAGGATGGCTGGCACACCACAATGCCCGCAGCTCATTCGTCTCACCGAAACATTCCACCGTAGAAACAAATGCACGCTACTACACTGTTGTACCTTAGCAGTTAGACCAAGGTACACACAGAAGCCAAGCCGGGCTGAGCCTCATTGAAGACGCCATCGATTGCGTCCAAGATGTTCGCCTTTTTGACGCGTCTTGAGATCGATTGGTGAAGGGAAAATGTAACCCTCACGCTCGGAAAGATGCGGTGACAGGTTCGATAAAGCCATGTACGGTATGCTAAGAAGAAGCCAAGTGATCAAGGCGATGACTGCTATAGAACGGATGAGATCATTAAGAAGGGGTGGTGGAAGGGTGCCGACAAGTCTGAAAAGGTCACATCTAGAATGTCACCGCGGGAAGAAGAAATGAACCCCAGACAAAACCGATTGGCGATCATCCGGGTGCCCCGACGCATTGCTGTCCGCACTCAATCCGAGTCTTGGCAACTGACTAGCTTCAGAGATTCCCCGACCTTGGGAGGGAACATGCTGGTTCACCTCTTGATGCTTGACGACTAAAAGATCCAACTCGTTTCCCCCCCGTGCAACTCCACGATGAACTACATCAACCCATCCACCATGAGTGAACGATGATAGATAATGCCGTGATTACCGGCCCAACAGTGGTGGTGTATCGTCCAGATCCGGGCGCCTGCCATCTCTGCTCCCGAGACTGCCTGGCAGCATCACTGCCCGCCCTGCCGCCGCGACCAGCGGTTCATGCCAGGGGGTGCTGAATCCATCATCAGACTTCCAAGGTTTGCAATGCCATGCCGTAGTTGGAAGCGTCCGAGCACCGCTGTGGTGTCAAGCGGATGACCAAATAGTGTGATCCCGACTTTACGATCTTCCCTTTCCTTCTGTTTGCTTGGCTTGAGTTAGTTCTCTTTCTACCAGGCGCATACTGTGCAAGAGACCTCAACTTCAATAAGTATAATAAGGATATAGCAACTGCTGTCGGTATGCATTGGCCGGCAAGACATTTTGTCATCCATCTCAACGTATGGCAAGTCTTCAGTTCAACCCAGAGTGCCTCTCGAGTACCCTTCTGCATTATCTACTCGGGCTTAAGTATTTGAGTGATTGCTCGCACTCAATGCCAGCTATAGGACTTTCGCAATGAGTCGAGTATTAAAACATCCCGCTCTCTCAGCCCATAGCGACAGTTACCATACTCAATTGACCATCAAATGCACCAAGGCCAGATCTCTGAGACGATGTGATCAGATCACGTTGCTCGGCCGATGAATGATTATCAGAAAGTTGAAGCAATCTGCAATGAAATGAATGGGGCATGTGATGTGAAGATCTCTCAGTCTCACTTTTACCCTTCATAGTCCTATTCTCATGCTCACCTTCACTCTCATACTCACTCTCGTACTCCCTTTCATTCTCACTCATACATGACCGGCAAAGGTCTCACCCACCCTTCAGTGACAGCTGTCCGCCCATCGGAAAGCCGACCCCTCTCTCACCCGTCACCCGAACGTAGCCGCCTCCGGCCCCCCGCCCGCCCCTCACTGCCGACCTGAGAAGGAAAAGAACCCCGCCATCGTCACCCAAAGCTCATACATAGCTCCCGCGCGCCACGGGAATTGGCTGAAGCATTTCTAATCACGTCTTATGAGAGAGAAAGCTCCCCCCCTCCCCTCACTTCATCGGAACGCTGACTAAACCACAATTGCGACCTCAAGCGCAATCGGAAGCTATTCCAATACTGCGTATGCGTAAACGCCCCTCCATCGTCCCATAGGTTGCAGACCAAAAATAAAGAAAAAGAGAACTGAGACCTCTCCTCCCATCGCAAATGTCACAATTCCTCATCTCGCGACCCTCCACATCCATCCGCATTCTCACCAGAAACTCCAAACTCACACCCATCCTCGCACAAACTCACCACCAAACCCGCACCTTCATCCCATCACCAACCCGCCAAACCTCCCTCTCCCCAGCCCCGCACTTCACAATGGCCTCCTCCCTCCCCCAAACCATGAACGGCATCCAAATCCCCCGCACAGGCGGCACAGAAGTCCTAACCCACCACACGGACCTGCCCCTCCCCGCCCTCGCCGAGAACCAGGTCCTCGTCCGCAACGAATACGCAGGCATAAACTACATCGACACCTACTTCCGCACCGGCCTCTACAAGGCGCCCCTCCCCATCACCCCCGGCCGCGAAGGCGCCGGCACCGTCGTGAAATCCCACCCCTCCGTCGGGACCCAATTCAAAGAGGGCGATCGCGTCGTCTACATGGGCCCTTTTGGCTCCTACTCGGGCTACTCCGCCGTCAACGCCGCCCAGCTCCTGCGCATCCCCGACGCGCTGGCCACGGATAAAGCCGCCGCCGCGCTGCTGCAGGGTCTCACGGCCTGGACTTTTATCCGCGAGGCGGGCGAGGTGAAGGAGGGGGAATGGGTCCTCGTCCACGCGGCCGCCGGCGGCGTCGGGTTGCAGCTCGTGCAGATGCTGCGTGCCGTGGGCGCGAGAGTGATTGGCACGACGAGCACCGACGAGAAGTGCGCGCTGGCGAAGAAGAACGGCGCAGAGTTCATTGTAAACTCGCGCTCGCAGGATCTCGTGGAGGAGGTGAAGAAGATTACGGGCGGGCACGGCGTGGATGTCATCTTTGACGGCGTCGGCAAGGCGACATTTGATAGCGATATCGAGATGGCGGCGCGCAAGGGGAGGTTGGTCGTCTTTGGCAACGCGGTAAGCTCTTCGTCAAAGATTCAGACGTGGTCTACCAGTCCAGGAGCATCACTAACGTGTTCCTTTAGTCGGGAGCTGTTCCTCCGTTTGACATCCTCAAGCTGGGTCCCAAGAACTTGAAGGTCATGCGGCCCATTGTCAACGGCTACACCGCGACCAGGGAGGAGCTGGAAAAGTACAGCACGGAGCTGTTTGACATGATTACGTCGGGCAAGGTGGAGGTGGCCATCCACAAGGCGTACCCGCTCAAGGACGTCAAGCAAGCCCACGAGGACCTGGAGAGCCGCAACACGACGGGGAAGCTCATCCTCAAGGTGGATTGACTACAAGCACCTCTGTGATATTGATGAAAGCGGGTCATCCAGGAGTGCTGCAAGGGAGTGGTATCTTGAACTTTTTTTTTCTTTTTTTGAATGAAATCCTCTCTCTATGGCGGATGTCGTATCATGGCTCTCGCTGCAAATAGCACTAATTCTATCATCATCTATGATAAGCAACCAAACTTTTTCTTTTTTTCAAGATGTGGCTGATGCACTGATACATTTCCGTCCCTCCTTTTTGCTTAACCGCTCGTGGGCTTGGCGTTGGCAAGGAGCTCAGGGGGAGGGTCCTGGCGGTACCCCTTGGGGTTGTTGCTGACCCAGCGCCAGAGGTCCTCGCAAGCCTTCTCCAGTGTCTCCTCGGTCTTCCAGTTGAGCTCCTTGTTGGCCAGGGACGGGTTGGCAGTGAGGTCGAGAACGTCGCCCTGGCGTCTGGGGACAACATCGTAGGGCAGATCGCGGCCGACAACATGGCTGAAAGCCTTGATCATCTCAAAGACGGTGCTGCCACGGCCGGAACCGAGGTTCCAAGCCTTGACTCCAGGCTTGTTCTCGCGGAGGTAGTTGAGGGCGCTCAAGTGACCCTTGGCCAAGTCCACAACGTGGATGTAGTCGCGGATGGCGGTACCGTCTCTCGAGGCGTAGTCTACTCATGATTAGCGGGGCTTTTCTACTATTTTACCACATGTACTTACCATCACCAAAGACGAGGAGCTTGTCGCGGTCACCAGTAGCGACCTTGCCGAGCAGAGGAAGCAGGTTGTAAGGGACGCCCTGGGGGTCCTCACCCATGAGACCAGAGGGGTGAGCACCGCAGGGGTTGAAGTATCTCAGGAGAGCACCGTTGAACTGCTCGTAGGGCTTGCCGGCCTTCTTCAGCTTGTTGCGCTCGGCGTTGATGTGATCAGTAATGACCTGCTCGACAAAGGCCTTGGTGTGGCCGTAGGTGTTGGTGGGACCAATCGGGCAGTGCTCGGGAATGGGAATCATGTTCTCGAAACGAGTGGCATCGCCGTAAACGGTCGCCGAGGAAGAGAAGACAATGTTGGGCACATCGTTATCCGTCATGGCCTGGAGCAGGGAGACGGTGCCGGCAACATTAACACGGTAGTACTCGAGAGGGATCTCGCCAGACTCGCCGACAGCCTGTGATCGACCATGTTAGTTCTTGCGGTGGAAGGGCATCGCAAAGGAGCAAAGGAGCTGACCTTGAGCGCGGCGAAGTGAATGACACTGTCAATCTCGGGGTGCTTCTTGAAGACCTCATCGAGGCCGGCCTTGTCGGTGACATCGACCTGGTAGAAGTGGGGTCGCTTGCCGCTCAGCAGCTCGATGCGGTCGACGGCAACCTTGGAGGAGTTGTACAAGCTGTCGACAATGACCACATCGTAACCGTTCTGGAGAAGGGTGAGGGAGGTGAAGGAGCCAATGTAGCCGGTACCACTGCAAGCCACCAAATCGCGCGGTTAGCCTCTATGCTCTACTTGGACTTGCGCCAACGAACAAACGCCACGACGGCGGGTGTCAACGGTGCCACAGGCAATTGGATCGCCATAGACCTGTTACTTAGGTGGAAGGAGGCGGTAGCTTACCCGGTAACCAAGACAGTTCCAATGGCCATCGTGAAGAAATTTGCTGGCGTCGATCGCAACTAGATGCGGTGAGGGGTAATTTGGAGGTGGAGGGGCGAGAGAAGGTCGACGAAGAGTAGTGAGAGATGCGCGGTCCGTCGGGGTATCAAGTCGTTAGGGTGTGAAGGAGAGCGCAAGTCTGTCGTGAGTTTGAGTTTGGAGGAATGACGGAAGGGAAGAATTGAGAAGGACTGCGGGAGGAGGCGAGTGATATATCTGGCGGTTGACGTGAGGGGTGGGAATAATGAGGCGACGGTCGCAATAAGGAAAAAGTAAACGGGGTCGTCTGTCTGTAACGTCCAGTCTGAGTGATGATGTGGGAAAGAAATTGGCTCGTCCATGAGTGCCACCGTTCGCGCCCGCGCCCACACCCACGTTTCCCGGTACGCCCACCATGCCCACCAGCGAGACCAAGCATTAGGTTGAGTGCAATTCGTGCTGCCAGTCCCAGAATGTAGGTACTGCGTCTTTTCGCAGTAGTGAATTTGGGGCGATTCGGGGCCACCTCAATGTTCCATTCGCAACGGCCAATCTGGCGCGCCAAATTGGAGGCAATGGCGGGGTCCTGCAGGCGGGGGTGGCACCAATCTCAGGCTCTGTGGCTGGCTGCGGAGCCGACTAATTTCATCCTCGATGTTCAAACGGCGCAATTGTTGGCACGCTGAAACTTGCAACGACCGGGGATCGCGGTGCCGTGGAGACTGATCTTCGTGACGGTGGACGGGCCGACAAGGTCCCTACTGATTGATCATGTTGACTGCTGCTCCTTCGCTGTCACCGTATCACTGCCCGGCTTGTGAATCTCGCCATCCAGGACGAACGGAGTGAATACGGTCAGTTATCCGTAGACCGACAAAGTGACGAGACCTGAGAGTCAAGAGAGAGAGAGATCGGATGACGGATCAAAGTGTGGATGGTCTGGTGGGGTGTCTCCCCGGCGCATATTCCCCGTATCCGTATTGTTTAACCCTTCCCGGATGTCTCTTTGCTGTTTGTTGGAGCGGCTGGGTGGTTGACCGGCCTAGCCTCGCCGAGTAGGTGCTTTCCTGCCCGAGTTCTCCATATACGCATTCGCGGGATCCAGTCTGGCACTGCAGTTTTGCCATTTTGTCCGGTTGTTCGCCCGAAAGAACGAGGGTGAGGGGCCGGCGGGTTCCCGTGTTTGTAGACGGCAGCGGAATGAAAGTCAGGTCTGGGCCTAGGCACATTGCTCTAGCGCAGACGAGACGGATACCATGGCTGGTCCATGGCTCAGGGTTAGTCATTGCATGTTTCTCGTGCTGCCTGGCGCTGGTCTTGCATCGAGTCAAAGTGCCCTTCATATACTCGGCGCTTTGCGCGATACTTCAATGGCAGAGCGCAAGGTGAGATGGAAAAGCACGTGTTGGGCATCGCATGTCGATGAATTTCTCCAGGATGAACCAGCGATTCGAGGTGGAGGCGTGGAGCAATCGGTGACGTACTTCGTGGTCTGGATTAGGTAGTGAGGTATTGCAGCCTCAGGTTTAGTAGTGTACTCTTCCTACCTATACCTTATCGTGGACGGTTTATCTTATCTTGTCTTATCAGGGTGAGAGTCTTATCTGCAATCTGAGGCATCATCACGTGGTCGCAAATCTCGACTGCTTATCTAAGGCACGAAGATTCTCGCTTATGTAAGACTCCAGACCCGGCGGCGCGTAGCTGGCCGACCATCGTTGCGGGGACCTGACAGTGGAGGACAGCGCGTGTGCGGGCAACGGACACGCTGCAAGGGTCTGAGCTTTCTCTGCGCCCGACCCCCGGTTGCTGGCTGGGCGGTTGGCGGTGGGCGGCTGTCCGTCGCGAAAACATTCCCATGTCCGGTGAGTGTGTGTGTGTGTGAGAAGTTCCTCAAGTGAACGCTTCAAGACGCCACAAAGAACTCAACGAACCCTCGGGATATCCCTCGCCTTGCATCACTGCTGTCGCAAAACTCATTCTCCTCGACCGACAATTCATTGACCCGCTCATCCCGCACACCCAGCCGCATTCCTTCGTCAAGCCCATCTATCTAGTCCTCCACATCGACGATCCGACGCGCGCGTGGTTTGGCGCGACTTGTGCCTGGGAAAAGATGGTCGTTGCGATCAGGGACCGCTCTTCCTCTCTTTGTTGACAAGCCGCCTCCCTCCCTTCCCGATCCGGCAGGCCTGTCCCTCTGGAATAGCTTCACTTTGGGATCCTTCTCTCACTTCAATTGAAGCTCCTGCAACCGCCTCCCTTGCAGCCTACACAAAGGCACATTCGCATCCGACCTCCAACCTCGCGCCAATTCTTCTCTAGGTTTTCCTTTGGGAGCCGCCTCCCTTGTAGCTCAACATAGATCTCATGCTTCATTGCACCTGCCATTGTTGACGAGACAAAAGAGACCTCGAGTTACGACAAACTGCTTTTCAGAGACTCGTTGAAAACTGCAGCGCATGTCTACCCAAACAATAATAATGTGAGTTGCGTCTTTGCAATCCTTTCTACTCCTTCCATTGCTTCTTTCCTTCAACGCTCTTTCTTCTCGCGCTTGCCGTCTGTGAGTTTGACCTCATCGTCACTTCCTACCTACTTCGACAACTTCCAGTACCTGTTTCATTCAGCCCTCTCTCATCCTCCTCATACATCGTATCTCTTGTCATCACCACCGGTTCAACCCTCTCAGTCTCATCTCACTGCTACGTGGTGTTGAGTGATCTCATTTGATACACAACCCGTCATCTCAACCCACTACTCACCATCATCACAGACCCTCCTCCGTCACACTGCGCCAACATGCCTCCCAAAAGAAGGGTCCGTGACAATAGCGGTGAGGCGCCATCCACTTTGGCCGGTGGTGCTGCCGTTAGTCGAGAGCTGCCTCCGTTGGCATCGCGATTTGACACATCCTACGGGTCTGCACCTTCCACGATTCTACGGAACACCCGCCGCGGCCAACAACGCAATTTGCAAGACATTATCAAGGACACACTACACAACAGCGATGATTCTGATGATCCCGGTGACCCGGATGATGGCGATGAAAGCGATGACGGCGATGATGCCAGTACAAGCAGCAGTGAGGGCAGCAACAGCAAACAGCCAAAGCCGCCTCCTTCTCGACGCACAAAGCAAACAAGGCAAACAAAGTCACCAGTTCCCAAACCAGCGCCGAAGCCGAATCCGCCGCGCAGAGTGCAACCGAGTCCTGATCCAGACCCTGACCCCGACCCGGACTTCGACCAAGACTTTGGTCCTTATCGCGAGTCGTCAGAATCCCCTGATCCATTGCGGGATGCAACACCAGATCCTCCCCTCGCCCGGCGCTCACCACGACGACAATCACCAGCCAAAACTGGTAAGTGCGACCACGTGCGCGACACCAGGTCATGCCTTGCCGCCGCCTCGCTTCCCTTGCTAAACATCGTCTCAGCTCCCTCCATCGAACCTCCTTCATTCCAGCAAGGCCGTCTTGTTCCTCCACAGCAGTTCTTGCCAGGTGCTGCACCGCCGAGAGGGCAATTCTCAACATATTCACAGTCGATTAATAGGAGAGCCAGCTCAGAAGACCCGGCTCAAGGTCTGACACCTGCTAGACGATCCCTTCCTGCCGCAAGCTGGAACTCCGTCTTCGCTCGAGCCATATCCGAAGAGCCCTATTCCCAGTCTCGCTCTCAATTCACCCAAGGCCCTCCGGAGCCGACTCCGACACCAGACTCAGTCCGCACCTTTGGCCAGGAAAGCTCACTCTTCGGGGGTGCTGATATTGGCTCAACCCCGTCGCAGTCTCTCTCTTCAGAGCGTGGTGGTCGCATGCGGTCAATAGAGGAGAGCGAGGAGCCCTCTCCTCCCAAAGAACAGACGAGAGGCATAGATCTACTCAGTCCGTTGAGGCGCTTGGCACGCGATCCCCGGCACAACGCGCAAATGGCACAGCGGAATCTAAACCAGGCAGTCCCTCACCAAGGTGCCATCCAAGCGCCGATCACCAAGGTTTCTGATAGACCTCCTCCCGACCAGGTGCCTTTACTGCCCTCCCAGAGTTCTATCCGTCCACCTCAACGGGAGCCACCAAGTACACCGCCGTCAGATCGATTTCGGCCGCGCAGCAGTAAATCACCTTACCAGGTCTCACCTGCTCACCTTGCCAACCAATCTCCTGCCAAGAAAGACCCTCCAGAGTCAGTAGCCAGCTCGCGTCAGCTTGCGGCCAACAAAACTTCGGTGTCACCTTCTCCTGCCGCAAGGTCGAGCTCAACTCGTCTGTCAAGTCGTGTTAGCGAAGAGCCATCTCTCAACAATCAATCTCAAGTCTCAACCCGTCACCCTTCACCTCGCAAGCCGATCCAGGCCGAGAACTTCATTCCTGCTCGGAGTGGACCGCCGACTGCCAAGGAAAATGCTGCACCTCCTCGCCCTCTGTTTGGCAAATCTCTACCCCCCAATGGTAATTCAGTACCGTCTCGTCCCTTAGCCAAGAATCCGCCAGCCATCAGAGTAGAAGCTCCACCGTCCGCGGCTGCCGGAACCGGCTCAACGAGGCTTCTCAGTTCAAGTGGCCTCTCTGGCAAAATCAACAGTCGACCAGCACCTAGCCAAGGCGGGGCCGGTATGTTCACTCCCGAAATGCGAGCAAAGATTCAACAAGAGCATCGGCAGGAACGGATGAAACAGGAAGCTCTTCGAAAAGAGCGTAATGCTCGTTTGCAGGCATGGCCACGTGTCTACAATACAGTATATGAGTGGACAAATGTCCCTCGGCCGGATAGTCCCGAGACGGACGACGGCTTTGGATCCGATACAGACGGCCACATGGATTCAATTGTGACTTCGCGGCAGGTTCCCTACAGCGAGTTCTCGTGGGCAAGTTGGATCTTGTTCAAGATTGCTGACGCGTTCGTGGACTTGCTCAACTTTGTCTTCTCTCTGGACTTTTGGTTTCTCAAGGCTTCGCTCAGCGTTTTGCTTCTGTCACTCTTGGCATGGGGTGCCTTGACAGGACTGAACTCCACGCCGGCTATTGGACTAGGCGGTATCCAATGGTACGGTCTTTCAGATTTCTCACATAATCTCGGACAATTCGTCCCGCTCTGGATGTCGCGACCGGCGACACTCTTCGGCGATGATGACGCTAGAGAATATGTCCGCCAACAACGCAATCACGAATACGAGATCACCAAGTTGACGACGGCCAGCAAGCTCCACGAGGGATCACTTTCGCGTTTGATGGAGATTGTTCCCAAGGTTGTGCACATGAAGTTGGACAAGAAGGGACGGCCCGTCGTGGGAGAGGAATTCTACCACGCGTTGCGTGACCTCATGAAAAGCGATGCAGAAATCTTGACCCTGAGCCGGGGTCATGGCGGCTACCACTTCATCTCCAATGAGAACTGGTTGGCGATCAAGAGCAGACTTCAGAAGGATCCCGTGTATCAGAAAGCTGCTGAGCCGCCTGCGCCAGGACTATCGTCTGCGGACGTCGAGACCATTTCACAGTCCAAGTTCGACAAGACCTGGGAAAAGTGGCTCGTCAACAATAACAAGAAGATCGCCAAAATACTCGAACCCCAGTTCAGCACGTCCATTCCGGACAAGATTGGCAAGGATCTCGAGTCCAAGATTGAGAGGTTCGTCAAGGACCAGTTCAAGAACAAGGACACCAAGGACGTCGTGGTAACACGAGATGAGTTCATTCGCCATCTCAAGGGCGAGTTCGCAACGCACAGGAATGAGGTCAAGGCTGAGGCGCAGGAACTGCAAAAGAAGCTGGAGCAGTATATCAATGAATCGGTCGAGGGCATTTTGAAGAAGAGCCCGCCTAAGGGCGTCACACGGACCGAGATGATAACGGTGGTTGATGGCATGATCCGCCAGGCGATCGCGAATGCTGGGCTGGAAGCGCTTGCGCAAGGCAAGATCGGTGCTGTCTGGGATAAAGAACTCCGCCATCAGGTCAACTACTTGGCTCATGGCAGCGGCGTCATTGTATCCCACGACCATCTGACGCCGAATTACGTGCCTCCCATCAAGGCCAAGCTAGGCACCGAGAGTTATAAGAAACTAACATCACGGAGTCCCCACATCCAGCCTCCCGCTGCAACGCTGTACGGCTGGGAGGACGAAGGGGACTGCTGGTGTGGCATGGTTGTCGTGGACAGAGATGGAAAAGCAGGCGGCGTCCGCATCGGCTACATCCTCAGTCGAGAGATTGTCCCCCAGCATCTGGTCGTCGAGCACATTTTACCTGGGGCCACGCTGAATCCCGACGCCAGGCCAAAGGACATTGATATTCTGGCATATTACACCGACCTCCACACGCGCAATCGGGTTGCCGACTTTGCGGCAGCCCACTTCCCAGGCACCAAACTCTCGGATGGCTGGGTGAAGATTGGGCAATTCACTTACGAAAGCAGCGACACGCTCAACGGAGCGCACGTACATAAGCTCAGCTCGGAGCTACTTGCCTTGGGGGCCTACACGGATCAAATCGCGCTTCACGTCACCAGCAACTACGGCTCAGATCATACATGCTTGTACAGAGTGCGACTCTATGGCGTGGAGAACGAGGCTTGAGGGTAGACCGGAACAAAGGAGGGGAAGGATAGAAAGAACTTTTCAGACGTTGCGTCTCTGGCGTTGATTGGGTCTCGGGACGCACTGACTTAGGGATGGCTCTTTGCAAGATATGAGGTTTTCCAAGTATTCAGGGAACGAGGGATTGAAAAGGTACCTGGCGTTGGGGGTTGACGATACCCCGTGGACTTCTTTTTGATGCAGTCCTTAGGCAAAGAGAGTATTTAATGCATAACGTATTCAAAGCATTCTCCTGATAAATGATCTAGTACATGACCAACTGCTTCTATTGTGACAGGCTAACTTTTGCTCCTTTTGATTCAATCCTCTCAACGGGGTATATATCTTTTTTAGTTCAACAAGCCCGAAGCCAAAGCCTCGAGGTCCTCCAACGTCTCGGGCTCGTGGTCAATCTCGAGCACCTTGCCACCCTTCTTGGCCTTCTTCTTCTTCTCCCTCTCCTCGTCCGAGTCATCCTGGAACCACTTCTTAGTCTTCTTCTTTGGCCTCTCGTCCTCGCTGCCGCTGTACTCGCCGCCGCCGCCCTCACCCGCAATCGGCAACGACCGCAACAGCGCCAACGGATCTTCGTCCCCATCATCACCGCCCGCGACCTGCGGTCCTTCAGCACCCTTCGGCACAACCTCCCCGCGCTCCTCGGCCTCCCTCTGCTTCCTCTTAAGTCTCTTCTCCTTGAGCCGTCCCTTGGCGGCGAGCTTATCATCCACGTCGGCCTCCTTGACGCGCGCCGCCTCGCCCTCGACAAACTTTTTCCGGAGCGCCTCCGCTGGGCCTTCCTTTTCGAAGTCGTCTTCGTTTTGCAGCTCGTAGATTTGGTGCGCGTTGCCGTCCTCGTCAAAGACGAGCTTCTCGCCGCGGCCCTTGAACTTGAGCATCTTCTTCTTGGACTGGAGGGCCTTTTCGCGACGCTTGGAGTCGACGATGAAGTCTTGCCCGCCGTAGGATAGCACCTTTGGTTTGGCGCCTGGTGCGAGGGCGGATTCGGCGTCGAGTTCCGAGTCGTTGAGGACGCGTTTTACGGAGAGGAAGTCTTCTTCTTCTTCTGCTCCGTCTGCGCCGGCGGGTGCTGCTGCGGTTGTGTCGCCGGTGACTTCGTCGCCGTTGGCTACGAGCTTGGTGTAGTGGCCCGAGAGGACGTCCTGGTTCGTGCGCTCGAACATGCGGTCGTACTTTGTCCTGACCTCGGGCTTCTTGGGCTTTTTGGGACCCGCCGCCGCCGCCGCCGCGTCGTCCGAGTCCTCCTCGTCTTCGTCGGAGGACTTGCCCTTGCGGGGCGCATTCTTGACCTTTTTGATGTCCTCGCCCTTGCGCATCTTGATCTGCGGCGCACCGGGGAGGCCGAGACTCGCGGCGTAGGCGTCGAGGTCGAGTTTGTTGAACTTGAAGACCTCCTTGTCCTTTTGCAGGTAGATGGAGCGGACGTAGCTGATGAAGGCCTTTTGGCCAAGGTACTTGAGGTCTGGGTTGGAGAAGCACATGCTCTGGAGCTGGTCCTTGATGCTCTTCTTCTTGCTCTCCTTGACGGTGATTTTGTTGATGGGCACCTTCTTGAGCTCGAGGCGCTTGAGCATGCCGGCCTCCTCGCTGGGCTCGAGGAAGAGGACGGCTTTTCCGTCGCGCTCGTAGCGGGCGGTACGGCCCACGCGGTGGATGTAGGTGTCGACGTCCTCGGGGCAGTCAACCTGGACGACCCAGTCGACGGCGGGGAAGTCGACGCCGCGGGCGACGACGTCGGTGGCGAAGAGGACGGAGGCGTTTGCGTCGGCGAAGCGCTTTGTGATTTCCATGCGCTGGAGCTGTTTCTGCTTGCCGAGGAGGTGGAGGAGGGGCACACCGGGCTGGAGGTGTCGCATGCCCTCGTAGGCGAAGCGGACTTGCTTGCCTGAGGAGAAGAAGACGATGATTTTGCTCTTGAGGTTGGCCTTGATGAAGCCGAAGAGGGTGTCGAGCTTCTCGTGGAGGGGGGTGACGATGTAGTGCTGCTGAAGGTTCTTGGGCGTGGATTCCTCGTGGACGGAGACGTATTCGGGGTCCTTGAGACTCAGGCGCGCGAGGTCGGAGATCTTCTTGCTCTGCGTCGCGCTGAAGAGGAGGGTCTGTCTCGTGGAGGGCAGGTGGTCTACCAAGGCGTCGACGGCGTGCTGGAAGCCCATGTCCATGATGCGATCCGCCTCGTCGAGCACGAGGATCTGGAGGTTATCGACGTCGAAACCGGCCGTCTGGTCGAGGTGCTGCAGCATGCGACCGGGCGTGCAGACGAGGATGTTCATCTTTGACAGACGCTCGGCCTCTTCCTTCAGGCTCTTGCCTCCAATGACGAGACCGGCGGAGAAGTTGTGGTAACGGCCTACCTTGCGGAGGACCTCAAAGATCTGGGCGGCTAGTTCGCGGGTCGGGGAGATGATGAGGGCGCCGAGGCCGTCGAACTCTGTCCATTGCGCGCGGTAGAGCTTCTCGAGAACGGGGATAATGAAGGCGAGGGTCTTGCCACTGCCCGTCTTGGCGGCGCCGAGGATGTCGCTGCCCTTGAGGGCGAGGGGCACGGCGCGTGACTGGATATCGGTGAGGGTCTCGAAGTGGGATTTCTCGAGGCCCTTTCGGGTCGTTTCGCAGAGGGGGAGTTCGGAGAAGCTGGTGTATTCGCTCTTGGGGTCCTATTGATTGTGTAGACACAGGGTCTTGGGTCAGTCTTTGTCCAAAGATTCGCAATGTCGTCGTGGGCTTGGTGATGTAGCGGGCGCTCGCGCAAAAAGATACTTACAAAGTCGGCTACGGACTTTTCGAGCTGCTCGATTGTTTGCTGCTGCTGCTTTCTCTTCTCGAGGCGCGAGTCTCTCTTGAGGACCTTGGGCTGCTGCTTCTTCCCCGATCCCTTTGCGGGAGGCTTTGTGGGAGTCGCCATTGTCGTTGTTTCGTTTGCGTCAAGCTCTGTCACTACACCGCGGAGGATCTCAGAAAGGCGGAAAAAAAAAAAAAAAGATGTTCAGACGGGGCCTTTGGAGGAAGCGCCTGGAAATTTTTTGGCGGCGGGTTGCTACGGTGGAGTGAAAAGTTCGGCATTCGGCGACAGGGGACGCCGTTTGTGGGGTTAGTGGCGGCGCATACCTGGGCACCTGGCACCGTCTGGCGTCTCAGTTTACTCGAGATGCCTTCTTTCTCCTTTAATGCTACCATGTCACCGTTCCCATCTCAACATGAATCTCATACTTGCCTATTATCTAGACGATAATCAACATTGAAGTGAGCAGGTAAGTTACAGCAAGCAAGCACTCAACGGCCTCAATTATCATGTCGGGTAAAGTATGGAAGAGCTGGTTCGTTATCCAGGAAACATTGAGTTCATTGCATGCGTCGAAATATTGACATACGTCTAATAGAATCTATAGGTGATCCCGCGACCCTCGTCCGCCTGCATGCTTCCGGCTTTCGTTTACTTCAGCATCCAAACGCTTTCCGTGGTCCTATCTCGACCCTTCGCTTCAGTGCACTCTCGCTCTCTCCTTGTTCCAATCTCCTGACAAGATCGTCCGGATCAAACTCGGTGCCAATGGGGTTCTCCACGAACAGAGAAGATGCCATGAAATCGTTTGCTTCTCGAACTGTGTCAAAGTTGTCTACAAGAAGTTCAACGCCGTTGCCGTCTGGGTCTTTGTAATAAAGACTTGTGGTCGGGCCATGGTTGACACACCAATAAGGCGTAATGCCATTGGCCTTGTGCGTCTGGTAAGTAGACAGAAGATCAGCCAGCGTCGAGTAGCAGAAGGCGACATGTTCCAAGCCTGTTGCTTGCGGTTCGGCAGTCTTCAAGCCGGGAAGCTCAACAATCGCAACGCGATGGTGATCATCCTCGTCATCGAAGCGTAGAATGGACAGAGCCTCGTTTTCGAAGGCCACGATGCAGCCCAAGAAACTGACGTAGAAGTCTACCATTACACGAAACTGATTGGTCTTAAAGACGACATGTCCCACTCGTTTCGGGCTCTTGACGAGCCCTTTGTTCTGGCCAAAATCCAAAGTCATGTCTTAATCGGTAGTTGAAAATATGGTCAAGAACCTAGAGACAAGATACTGCAGTTGTGAGGCTCGGCCAATAGAAGGAAAAAATAACTCTGTTGTTGAAGAGGCAAAAAGTGACAAAGCTGATGCTCTGCTGGATATGTCGATAGTCTAGCGTCGAGCAACGATGTATGAGCTGTATGATATATCAGTCAGAAGTTTTCGGCGAGATTGGTGCTCTCAAACTCGCGTATTCCTTCAAAGTCTGGCGACGAATAACGCCCGTGAGAGTACCTATTTCTGTCCTTCATTTGATTTTATCTTGGCCTCTCCTCGGTCTCGGTATCGCCTTGTTCACGCACGTCCAATGTCAGATAGAGTTACAAACCCCAGACGATATCCACAGGCCCCAATCTCGGCTCCGGGCGCAGCGACCAAGTCCGGCTCCATCTGACTTGGTGGACCGTGGGATTCCTTGGATTGACTCGGCGGTTGACACGGACTAAATCGCCGAATGATGAGTGTGCGATTGAATCGTGAATTTATTGCTTGATACTCCATCACCACCTGGGTACTTTATTCTCCTCTCGTCAACTACACCAGAGACAGCCCTTGAAATCCATTTCCGCATTTACGCTGTCAACATGACGTCTCTCGTTGGGCTTGCTGAGTCGAATCTCTCATACTATTCGGTGAGCATCTCTTTCCCGAAACCGCTAGCAAGATAAAAGTCACTTACTCTAGTCATAGGTTCCCTTGGCTTACATACTTGCTTTTATCCCACACGTCTACGCCAATACAATCGCGGGTGACAAATATGACGTGACTGAGCCTCGTAGGCTCCTGGATGCTGTATCAAACGACGAGCGTCTCGATAAAAGGGTAAGCAGTGCTACGACTCTTCGTCGCATAGCTGACGAATATGCTTCCAGCTTCGCCAGAGAATTCGACGTGCAAAAGCTGCCCACGACAATGCGAATGAGACGCTGGGTCTGTACGCCGCCGGTGTTGTAGCTGCAAACTCGGCGGGGGTTGGCAAGCCAACGCTGGATCTACTGTCGATGATATACCTTTCTTCCAGAGCGGTATACACTCTCATCTACGTCAAATTACAGGACAATCGCAAATGGGCGCCACTGAGAAGTCTCGTATGGGTTGTTGGAATGTGTAGTATCTTCTCTCTATGGATCAAGGCTGGAAATGCGATGAAGTAATCGTAGATAGTACGTGTATCCGTCTTCGAGAAATCTTAATTTTGTCCCTGAGATTTCGACTGAAAGGCTCCAAGTGTCAAACTCCGACAGGTCATCTTTGGAGTAAGATAAACTGCTCGGTTACGCCTCGGATTGAGCTTCTGCAGGCGGCTGCAAGGATCCTCGGCCAGAGAGCCCATGCAACCTCCAAGCCTGTATGTTCTATGACACTGCTCTCGGCCAAAAGTTAAGAACGCCCAGCTGGTCCTGTTACTTGGCCTTGAGTTCGCCTCATGTATCATCCTTGTCAATGACTTAACCTATTTGTGGCAACGTATTAGGAAGCCCGAGCCGATCCGATAGGGAGCTGTACGATTCAGCGGTAGGCGAACCCAGAAATTAGTGCTGCGGTCTAGATCCTTGTGGAATGTAGTATATTTAGACGCATCTGACCTCGTGCTGATTCGCTCTGTTTGATTACCAGCCTTACTCATTCGCCAATCGCTCTTACTCCGTCACCCTAGCTTTGATATCTCCAGTCATCATGAGTTTCCTTCTATGGCCAAGTGCGGAGCCTGCCTTCAACCGCTCCGAGCTATTGCCTTCGATTAAGGGCAAAGTCATTCTGGTTACTGGAGGAACAAGTGGCCTGGGGAGGCAGGCGGTACTGGAATACGCGCGTTATGGTCCAGAGAAGATATGGCTTGCTGCACGAAACGCCGCCGCGGCAGAGAAGGTCATCAAGGAAATTCAGGACGAGGTTCCGACTGCACCCATCGAGTTCATCCATCTTGAGCTCACTTCAGTTGCATCGATTCAGAATGCAGCTCACATTTTTCGCCTGAAATCAAGCCGACTAGACATTCTCATGCTGAACGCCGGAATCGTCGCAACACCACCCGGACTGACTGAAGACGGCTACGAAGTGCAGTTCGGCACCAACTACATTGGGTCTGTTCTGCTTGCGAAGCTTCTGAGTCCAACCCTTCTCGATACTGCTGAAACACCAGAAGCAGACGTCCGAATCGTCTTTTTGGGCTCTCAAGCAGCCTCGATGGCTCCGACGGAGGGGATTATCTTCGAGGCTATCAAGACAGACTTTGGTGAGGTTGGCGCTTGGGCAAGATACGGTCAGAGCAAACTCGCCGTCATTTTGTATGCCCGGGAGTTGGCGAAGAGACAAACCAAGATCAAGGTCTGTGTCGTTGATCCAGGCTTTGTGGATACAAATTGGGCACAGTCTTGGAAATCCTCAAGCTACATACTTGGAGCATTGTATCCCCTTATGAGAATGGCTTCAAGCAGCGTGGATAATGGAGTCCAAAATCAGTTGTGGGCGTCAGTTCACCCAGATGTCAAGAGCGGAATGTATTATCTCCCTGTCGGGAAACCGGCCGTAGAAACGGGAAATTTGGCAAACCAAAAGTTGGGACAAAAGCTATGGGAGTGGACGGAGACAGAGCTGGAGGGGATGGACTGAAGAGTACTTAGAATTCCAGGCGTTGAATCAAGGTGTGGAGATGATTCAGCTTCACAGTTTAAGGTAAATAACCACTAACATGAAGGACCGAACTTCAACTGAGTGTAGCTCCAGGAATGCAATCTCACTCGAATATAATACCACAAAGTCTGTCAGAGAAGTATTGGGAGTAAATAGGTTCTGTCCAACTCGTAAGGGCATAGCGTGTTTTATGTACATGTATTCAAAGCTACGGAGTGCTATTCTCACCAAATTCCAGGTACGATTCGCCACGGAACAGTCCTGCAGTAGTCCTCCCATACCGGCCCGTACTTGGCCGAGCATCTTGCCTCATCCCGAATGCATCGGTGTATGAGCAAGATTGTCATGAACATCGCATAAAACCATACCAAGCAGTTCGAAGATCCCACTAAAGCGCACATCGCGGTACTGAGGAGCAAGTCTCCAAAGTAGTTGGCATGACGCGACCAGCCCCACCAACCACTGCAAATAAGAAGGCTCTGATGACTCTGGCCGTCCGAAGTCTTGTAAGATGCTACCAAGACCTTTGCCGGATTCCCCCAAATGTAGCAATCACCGTTGGAACGACGAACCCTGTCTTTTTGGCTGTTGACGGCCCGGAAGATGATGTACCCGGCAACTCCGACAGAGAAGATGGCGACCTGGTGGAAAGTTGAGGTTCTTGTTGGGTAGAGCCCAAGAAATTGGGTTTGAATGGTATACATGCTAGGGAGCCAGACAAAGGACCCCCAAGCGAGGTAGAAGCCGAAGTGGTCGTGAGCAATGTCAATGGTGCGCAAGTACCAGGACTCATTGACGAAGAAGTCAAGGACGTACACTGCGTGCAGAATGGTGACAAGAACAATGTTGGGATCGATCCGTCCATGGATCTCGTACTGATATGCGATGTTGGACAGATCGCTAGATTTGAGTCAGCTTGTGTGAAGCTGGGCCATTCTTCGTGAAACCTACATGAGTGTCCATGCAATTATGCCCGGTCTACCATTGGTGAATAATTTCAGGTCAAAGTCGCCCCAAAGTCTTGGGTTATGCTCGATTCCCATGTAAAAGTCATAAAATATGGATCCTATCATATGTCAGTCATTATGTGACCACGGAAAAACATGATGACCGCTGGCTTACCACTGAACTTCCGATCATCCGCATGGGTTGGCCTAAGGTGCGCTTTGATGAAAGCCAAGACAGAGAGCAAGAGACCAGCAGCATTCATTGTGAGGACCAGGCCACCCCAGTTCTTCGGGATGAAGGCAGGATCCAAGATGCCGAAATAGCAAAGCGCAGCGGCAAATGCGTGGGTAACGAACCAGGCATTGAGCCCATTGGTACGATAAGTCAATAGATGGCCGGCAGGACTTCTCTGGCCGTCGTGTATTTGGCCTGGCAAATATCGAAACAGGATGCCTTGAAAGAGAACCCAGAGTGCAAACACGCCGGTAGACTTGAGACTGAAGCATGGCCAATTTGACCATACGACAGAAATCAATCCATCTTGCAAAGCAGCCTTCAAGAAGTCGGACAGAGAGCCTTGGAATGCAGAAATAGCCACGGTGGTGGAGATGACCAAGGTCGGCGCAAACATCACAAGAAGCAGTGAGCCGACTGAGCGCATCCAGGATCCTCGACTTGATCTACCCCATGTTGGCCGTTGTGAGGGCTCGAGCTGAAGCCGAGATCGGGAGTAACCTTTTCTCATCCTCACGAAAGTCGACTCAGGCGCCAAGGGCACATCTAGAGACTCCATCTTGATTGTCGGCAATGTCGGAAGAAACGAAAAAGAAAAAAAGCGCGAACAGATGTCTAGAAATGCGAAAGGAGCGACTCCCTGAACTTAGTGATGGTACAGATGCTGAATGCTCGCAGAAGTCTCGAAATCTTTCGTGTTGATATGTATATATGTTATCAACACTTGCCCCCGAGTCACGTAATTATCAATTATCATGGCGTCTCGGCATTGAATGCTACCAAATTGGGCCGTCTCGATCGGAGAATCTTGCCAACAGCCCGCCTCGCTCTGAGACTGGAACATTGTGGATGCTAATAACCTAGCTTGGCGCGCTCGGAGGCTCAGCAGGAGGCTGATCAAGACTGATGGAGCATGGGCCCAGGGTAGTGTGCAAAAGTGGGATCAGGTGTTTGGCATAGCGCCGCTCCCTAGTCCTCGGTGCACATGAATCGGGTCATCCTATACACGGCACGCGGAGAACTGGTCATGTCCCCGTTTCTTCCTCTGAGTCTGCCTCGGATTCATTCGTGCGGAGATCGGCAAAGGCATGCGGGTTCTAGATCTTGCAGGAAATAAGGTTTGCGGTCCGCGCGCGCGGTACTCACAAAACGTTATCTCACGCCGGTCAGGATTGAAACCGAAAGCGACTATGTGACTCGGCGACGGCAATTCGGCCGACTCAGCCTAAAGTTCCCTTAGCAATGTGGGATCGCTCTCAGTCCAGAACATGATGATAATAATAGCATAGGAATTAGACTTCTCATGCAAATTGATGTACCCTTGGCTTCAAGTGAACATCCGTGGCCCACAAAATCCACGATTGGCAGTGGCCGGACGGGCGTACTATTGAGCTGGTGCGATAACTTTTGCCGGAGTTGGGTTTCGGCAACATTGTAGTTGGATAGAAATGTCAGAAACCAGTGACTATATTCGAAGTGGACGACTGAACCTTGAAGTTGTGATACTCTTATCTACATGCTATCTAAAGTCTGAAGGTTGACGTAGCAATCCTTGGGTTCTACAGTTATGCTCTCCCTGAGCTCATAGGTGCTAAGATTGTCGACGCATGGCTTGAAAGCAAAATTCCACACAAGCAACGCAAGAACCATGCGCAACTCAAGATAGGCGAGACGTCTGCCAAAGCATCCTCTTGGCCCACCGCCAAATGTCAAGATTGGCCCAGCTTGAGGATCAAAATCAAAATCAGACAAAGTCCAGCCGTCTTCTTTTCCGACGCTTTCTTCGCTGAACCCGCTCGCTCCCGTCTTTGGTACAAGCCAGCGCCCAGCACAGAACTTTCCTACATCGTCGGAAAGCCAGTCTGGGACTCGCTTGGCTTCTTGCGAAGTCCTACTTCTCACTTGTTCGTCAACGCCCAGAGACGGCTGAACGTAGCTCGCCCCTTGTGTGAAGATGAAGATCGTGGTACCTTTCGGCACGAACTTCCCCATCACGATAGTATCAGTAACAGCCTCGCGTGTTAGAATTGAAGCTGTCCGTGAGAGTCGCAATATCTCTTCCAGGAAGGCATCGAGATACGGAGCTGCAACCTTTGTGAGTTCGGTTACACTTGGCTGTCTCTTCTCTTTGACAGCAGCTGGATAAACTGCCTGGAGGTGTCTGCGCAATGTATGCTGTTGTTTCTGGTTGTCGGCGAGAAACTTCACAGCCCAAGATAAGATGGACGCAGACGTTTCATGACCCGCGACGATGTATCCAAGCAACTGTTGTGAAGTCAGCATAATTTTCTCGTCTAAGGAGACATCAAAAAGTTTACCTCGTCTTCCAATCTCTTTGAAGTGAATGAGGGTTTGCGTCCAGACTTCTTGGCTGCTGTCACTTCTCGCAGGACGATGAAGTCTAAAGCTGATTTGGCTGCCTTCTCTCCTTGGAGCGATTTGTCGCTCAGCGATGCTACTGCCTTTTGAATCTGGCTCCTGATGAAGTGGTCCTTCTTCACAAATACATTGCTCACACTCGTAAAAGTTTTCAACAGCCATGCAAACTGTTTCGGGAAGGGCGACGTGACAACCCTGCCCATAAAGTGCGTGATATCAACAGTAGCCTGGTACTCAGTAGGAAGCCCAAGACTCTTGAAGCATGCTGGCTCTTTCAGATCTGTTGGCACTAGAAAGGGCCTATGGCCTGTTTCCTGGAGTATGTGCTGCCGGAGAACACCGCCATTGCTTGTCTCGCCAAATGCAGCAGACATGATGATGTCCAAAGCAGCGTTCTGAAGATCGTGATGGGCTTCGAACGGACGGCCTGCGGCCCATTTGCTCTTCACACTCCACAGCTCTATGAGAGATAGCGCTTTGCTATAAATCTCGGGCGCAGAAACCTAAGTAGCCAAATTTAGCTGAGAAAAGCTTTCTTGACTGAAGTCGACAGAAAGACTAACCTCGCTTAAGAATCCTGGGGCCATCAAATCCTTCACCAAGTCCTTGTTGCCTTTGAACCTGGCGTCAGTTGACACCATCGAAAGATGATGCTCAGGTAAGATTGTGGACATGGTTTCTGCATCCCTTCGGCAACGGTCGAACTCCTTTGTTCGCCGTGCTACAATGTCGTAACTTTCACGATAGTCAAACAGAACCACACATGGCGGTGTGTATGGGCCCAGAAAGACCTGAACCATTGGTGACCTATGTTTCTGAGCCAGGTCGCGCATCCACACAGTAAAGCCTTTCCCGTGGGTTCTTGCATGCTGGAAAGCAGGGAGGTCACCCAAGAAGCTTTTCAGAGCGCTCTCGTTGTATGGAATCCCAGTGAGAGGTCTTGGGAAGCCTTTCAAGTAGATGTAATAGAGAAGCGCAGAGGTGAGAAGTATGAACGCCAGGATAGGCGACTGCAGCGCGATAGAAGCCGCACGATAGAGGTGTTTGATCATGTTGAGAACTTTGCGGGATGGAGTTGACGAGTAGGATTGATTCCACGGAAAATCATAGACCACGGTCAGATAGACTGCATCGAAGGGAATCGCAACAAATGTGATTTCTAGCAAACGAGATGAATTTTAGCTTGCTTAAGGGAGGCTGAGCATATCCCTGTTGATCCTCGGACCCTGTCCCTACAATGGTCGGTTTCGAGACGACACAAATTGTGGCTAGTAGCGACAATACATAGCAATCTTAGCAATGAATCACATATACAATACAATCCGTACGTGTAAACACTGTCCAAAATGCAGGCCAGGCTGGAAAATACGGGAGGACCGTGCTGTTCATGATGATTCTTATGGTCCTTCCGCTACACCGGACCGAGACCGAACTGGTCACGAGCTATCATGGCACGTAGCAATGGGTGTTCAAAGCTGGCTTGTATTACCACAGATCAAACACATAACGGGAAAGGTCAAGACAGGTAGGAAATGTAAGTTAGATCTCGTGCTAGCGCATGTGACAGTCGCTTCGAGAAAGGCCGGGTTTATCCCTGTTCTATGAAAAGAAGTCGTCCAGTCTAGTAGATATCCAAACTCTATCCGCCTGGCAATTGAGTTTCTTCGATGACAAGGTACTCAGAGACTGATTCTAGTGAAAATCGGAGTGGAGATTCCACTGCTTCAACAAATTCGGATGGAATGGCAGAAGTCCGGATGCATCCAATCCGAGCCTTTGCTGGGGATAGAACCACGTTGGGGTCGACCAGGCAAGGAACACAAGAACCCATAGGTATCCGACAAAGACCCGAACTCTGGACGCCGAACGACACAATGGCACTTGTTTCGAGATAGCCTGGATAGCATCTTCAGCGATGATTCCAATCGGCTGCAACAAGAAGAAGGTAAAAGCACCAGCGTTCTCTGCTGTCATTCCCATTGCCATGTCAGAAGCATGATGAATCAGACCAGAAATGAAAAAAGAGATAAAGATACGAAGGTATCTAGAAACCAGTCTTTGCCGAAATGGGAAAATGTGGTGTACAATGACATCGGCATGACCTGTGAGCCCACTGCGCAGACATTGATGCCATGAGGTCCTGAGTGGAAGACTGTCAGCAAATAGACTGGAACGAATTTGTATCGTTGGACTTACCCCCAGAAGCCCCTAATGGTCGAGGCAGACGAGAAATCCCCATAAAGTGGAGGACAGTCCTCGACCTTGCATAGAAAAACGACAACGAACCCGAGACAAGTAATTTCGAACATCAGTAGGTTTATGAGAGCGGTGCAGGCCCAGAACGACAGGGTCCCAATAATGCGGAATATGATGTCCGCTTGCGACAGCCTGACGAGACCCTGAAACGCCAGCGCTTGTTTGTCGCGACCGACAAAATTCGGGTCCGGAGGCGGGGCCTGCGTCATGAGGCTAAGCACCTGGTAGGCAACCAGGATCTTGAGAGATCGTTTCAAGATGAATGCGACCCGGCTCTCTGGGGGGTGTGGAGACCGTTGTTGTGATCCAGGAACATTTCTGACCTGCCACCTCGTGCCGATTCGTCTGAGCTTCCAAAGCAGCATCACAGATTCGTACGTTCGGGCCGCGGGAGACGCGGAAGATGGGGCGAACCCAGCTATGCTCTTGGTGCGGGCGTCCGGTTCCCAGATGCCATCCCACCTTCTGACTAGGACAAGCTCAGAGGCACTCATGAACTGAATCCATAAAAGTGGAACGATTGCGGAACGCCAGTGAGGATTGGCGATCCACTCACTAGACGCGAGCTGGAGCGCGTAAGTCAAGCTCGCGAGAGCCAAGACTCCGGTCAGCCGGATGAAGGACTTTGACGCAGGAATGTGGAAAGTGATGAGCAAAAATGTAATCAGGAACGTAATCAATAACGACCCATTGACTGCCGCACCACCCGGGTAAGATTTGATGAGCATTGTTGCGAAAAGAAAGAGTGCGTATATCTTGGCGTATGACAAGGATCGAAAGCACTGACGTGGAAATGGTGCTGGCTGGCAATGAGAGATGCTTCTTGTAACATCGGGCATACCTTTCAGAAGAGACTCATGGGGGCAATAAATAGAAGTTTGCAGCATTGTGTGCTCATAAGACCGCTTCTTTGGAGCTTACACGGCACTCCGGTGGCAGACTTGTACCTGTTCTCGGTAGCTAGGATGAGGGACCGACCCCTGGCAAGGATACGGGCATTATAATCCATGACCACACACAGACGGCTACACTAGTCATTTCGACTTATGCATAGATGTTGAGAGCAACATATGGACAGCTAGAAGCCTACGAGTTCCACATTGTCGAACCGAGTCCGAAGGGAAGATGTAAATAGAATCATGAATGTACCGCGGAAGGTCTGCGATCTCAGTGTTATAGCTCCTTACTCTCCAATCCTACGCCATACTCGTTGCTTTACCAGGCTGAAGACGTATCCATCATGATGATAGACGTTACTGAGCTGAGCCGTTTGCTAGTTGCTCTAGCTTTTCTCCCTACAGCAGCATTTCTTCTTTTACGCTTGGTTGAACATTTGACCCTTAGACCAGGACCAAAAGAGCCTCCTCTGGTTAAGACTTCGGTCCCGTTCATAGGTCATATACTTGGGCTTCTGAGATATGGAGTGTCATATTACATCCATCTAAGGTAAGTGAGTACAGATGGGGCACTAAAACACTCGATCTTGTTAAAGTATGTTTTTCACGACAAATTGTTGACTTGACAAGCAGATCATCAACCAAACTTCCAATCCTGACTGTGTATTTGGCCTCTCAGAAGACGTACATCGTCAACTCACCAGAACTTATTGCCTTGATATCTCGTCGCTCTAGAGAGGTTGATGGAAATGTTCCCTTCGTCACCATCGTCTATGGCAAGCTATTTGCTTTTTCTCAGACCGACCTCTCGGAGTTGCTGAGAAACCCATTGCAAAAAGGTTCGCTAAGACAGGAAGCCCACGTGATGGAGCATTCACTTCTCTCTCCGGGTTCAACCTCTCTGAAGGAGGTTTACGACGAGATTTTCAACGGCCTAGCAAACCATGTCAACAGCATCAGCGAAGGCCCAAGAACCATTGCTCTCCAGAGTTGGCTCCAAGAGATCTTCGCAATGTCGACTGCAAAGGCCCTTCACGGACCAGACGGCCCTTTTGCTAACAACAAAGAGTTGCTGCAGGCATTTTGGTATAGTCCCATAGCTTTGCCTTACCAGAATTTTTATTGACTTTTTTCACAGGGACTTTGAGAATGGCCTCAAGGCTTTGACGATGGGTGTTTTTCCCACCATCACGGCTGCGAAACCAGCAGCGGCACGTCAAAAAATCGTCGATGCTCTATTGGAATACTTCGGCGACTCATTTCCCGAAGATACTGCCTCTGAATTGATTCGGCGTACACGCAGGCTTGCACTGGACCACAGTAGAGGGACTGAGTTCATTGCTCGTTATGGTCTTGGCCTCATGACCGGATTCCTGATCAACACAGTACCTGCTGTCTTTTGGATCATCCTGCGTATTGCCAGAGATAAAGACCTGCTGGAAAAGGTTCGCCTGGAGCTTTCTTTGATCATTCAGCCATGCGCACATGATGAGGACTTCTCCACATTCGATGTCGCCGCTATTCGTAAACGCTGCCCGCTTCTCATGTCCATTTGCCATGAGACCCTGCGATGCATCAGTTCTTCGACTGGCACCTTTCTTGTTCACGAAGATGTTGAAATAGGCGATGAATATGTCCTGAAGAAAGGGGCCATAGTCCAAATGGCGGCAACGGCGATTCACTCGAATCCAGATGTTTGGGGTGCTGACGCCGGCGCATTCGAGCCGGAAAGGTTCTTGAGGCCGAGCAAGGTACATCCAGCAGCAAACCGGACATTTGGAGGAGGCAGCACTTTGTGCCCCGGAAGGCACCTTGCAGTGGACGAGATGATTACATTCACGGCGATGTTTCTCTCTACGTTTGACGTAACTTTCCCTGATGGCGCAAATGGTTTACCTAAAGAAGACGATACGAATATGCTGTCGGTGAAAAAGCCGAGTTCGGACGTTTTGGTGGATATCCGAACACGGCCGGAAACCAAGCATCAGAAATGGCGCTTTTCCACTGGGACGTTGAAAGTGTAGTCTTGAACATCGGATTCTTTTGTTTTCTTTCTTTCCTTCCGCAAAGCATATAGAAGACTTAGAAGAATGAGCATTTCCGCTGCGAACCCCGGTCATAATCTCACCGCCCAGTACAAGCTTGAGTGATCCGCCTCCAGGCATCAAGTTGACTCCATGTCAAGCGAGCGCTCAGGGTGAGCAATCCGTTTGCCAAATTCTGCCATACGAGCTTATGTGTCCTGATCCCTGTCTGAAATTTAAAATCTTAATATAGAGTACAGTATGTCCAGTCTGCGCCTCCGCCCCTTTAAAGTAACGGGCTAAGAAACAAAAGTCCACACCATTACAAGTAACTTAAAATGATACCATCGACTGAAACTCCGTGGAAGCCGTGGGTAGCGGTTCAGAGGGGGGACTGACAACGTGGTAGCTGCTCACCTAAACTGACTCTTCGTAGCTAAGCCGATTAAGTCGCTCTCGCTCTCGGATGTTTCCGTCCTCGACGAACAGGGCCATTTTGAGATCCGTGGTCTGCAGCTTTGCGCTCTCTCACGCGGCTTTCTTGATATCGTAGGACTAGGGTAAACAGTCATCCGGATTCTTCTCGGTCGCCTGCGTCTTCTCTACCCAGGGCAGTCACAACGCACAACCTCCTTTCCTATTTTCAAGATCCCCTTTCTCTAACGTTGTGCGTACGTCTGCAACTCATCATTTTTCATTTTCACTTCACACAAGCATCAGTTCATCATTGTGTCTATCACAGTGATCATGTCAGTCAATGACAGCAGTTCGGCCACTGCGCTGTTGTTGTTATCAGCTAATACACTTTACAACCAACCGCTGGGCTATTTCCGAGTCAGCCATGTATACTCTTTCTTGAGTATAGTGGCTGGCCTTTTCTTGTTGTCGACGTTTTACAGAGCCTTCAGAAGAAAAAACACCATTCCGATGGTGAACGCTCCCAGATTTTGGGAGCCTCGGTTGTTGGTTCAGCTATCATTTTTGTTCAATGCGAGAAAACTAGTGTCCAAAGGCTTGAAGCTGAATCGAGCATTCCGCATCTTGACCGATATAGGCGTCATCACAGTGGTTCCCTCAGAGTTTGCGAATGAAATTCGGACTGACTCACGGCTAAGTTATCCTCAAGTGATTACTGAGGTATGTATGATGGCATCTTTCACGCTCGTAGTTCTCAACCCAAACTAATTCGAGATTCGGATTTGTAGAATTTCCATGCTCGGTTCCCCGGGTTCGAAGGTTTCCGGGAAGGCACAACCGATGCGGCGCTAAGTCGCGATATCGCCAGAAAGCATCTCACACACTCTTTAGGTATAAAGATGCTCATTTGCTGCCGAAATGATTGTACCTTGACTAACGTTGGGCATCGTAGATAAAGTTACAGGAGCTCTAGTAGAGGAATGCGAGGCTGCACTGAAAGACCACTTCCCAGATGCAAAAGGTATGCCTGAATGAAAAAACTATACTGCCAATGACCTTGGTCTAACATCTGTAGTAGACTGGACAGAGATAAATCTCCGTGAGCATGTCCTGAAGCTTGTAGCACGTCTTTCCTCCCGCGTCTTCCTAGGAGAAGAGATCACGAGGAATGATGATTGGATAAAAGTCACCACTGAATACACCACCGATGCTTACATTGCGGCCAAAATCCTTCGTTTATGGCCGGCCAAGCTTCGTCCATTAGTTCACTGGATACTACCATGTTGTATCAAGCTCCGCCGACATGTTACCAAGGCGAGGAGTATCATCATAGCTGCCATTGAGCGGCGTCGCCTGGTAAAAGAAGCGGCTATCAAGTCTGGCAAGCCTATTCCAACATTCAACGACGTGATCGAGTGGCTCGAACAAGACACCAAAGACACGACAAGCGATTACGATCCTGTTGTTGCGCAACTCATCTTGTCACAAGCCGCAATTCACACCACCACAGACTTGCTCACTCAAGCCATTCTTGAGGTTGCAGCCACTCCGGAAATCGTCGAACCGTTACGAGATGAGATCAACGACGCCGTTGATAGATTGGGATGGAGCAAGGCGGCGTTTCACGAGATGAAGCTCCTTGATAGCGTGCTGAAGGAGAGCCAGCGCCGGAAGCCCCTTGCCATGAGTGAGTTATAACAGTCACGATTTCTTAGACGACGCACTCAAAGCTAACGCGCACTTGATAGCGTTCATGCACAGGCTTGTCTTGGAAGACACAACTCTATCTAATGGCGACACAATACCCAAGGGAAGTGTCATTGGCGTGTCTGCAGACAAGCTCTGGGATCCAAACGTGCATGAAAACCCCGAGAGATTTGATGGGTATCGTTTTGTTCGCATGCGGGAGAGTGGTGATAGCAAGGTTGCAAATCAGGCGCATCTTGTGAGCACAAGCCCGAATCATCTTGCGTTTGGCTACGGGAAGCACGCGTGTGCTGGCCGCTTCTTCGCCGCACACGAATCCAAAATGGCGCTCTCAAACATTTTGCGGAGATATGACTGGAAGCTAGCACCGGTCTCAGCCAACGAAAAGCCCCTTGAGTTTGGTTTAGTACTTGTTGCCAATCCAAAGGCAAGGATCTCTATGCGATTGAGACAGCGTTCATAGTTATCGAGCTGCATGAGACATTGGACCATTCTCTGCATATACACACACACAATGTTAAACCTCGTATCTCATATCTAAGAAATGGCCGCCAATACAGTAGTCCCAAAAACCTTGCATTTTCCATCCGCATGGCCAGATTGAAGCGCACGTCGCGACGCGACGCTAAAATGGACGTCTGAAAACTAAGTACGCGGACTATTTGACTGGGTAAGTCAAACCCC